CCCTGCCCGCCTGCCCTGCCCTGCCCTGCCCTGCCCGGCAGGGACAGCACCTATGCTCACTTACTTGATCAAGTAGACATCGTACTTCCCAGCAGAGCGGCCAGACTTCCTCTGCTTAAGCTTCCGAGTCCAGCCCTCCGGTAGGGTGGGGTCGTCATACATGGGCCCCCGGTCCCGAATGATGGAGCGTCGCTGCTTGGGGGAGGCAGATGCTTCTGGCACAGCTGGGGCGGAGCCCGAGCCCTCGGAGGTCTCCGCCTTGCCTGCCTCTGCAGGCTCCGCAGAATGGTGCGCCGATGGCTGCAGGGCCTCATGTTTGCCCTCCTTGTCTTCCTTCTTATCTTTCTTCACCTTTTTCAACTTTAGGGGTTTGTCCTTGAGGCTCTGGAGGTCCTGGTCTTCTGACTTCTCTTCCCTGAAGTGTTAAACAAATACGTGAGTATAAGTATCATGGAGAACACATTGCTGCAGAAAAGCAAGCAAGGGCAGGCTGAGGACCCCTATGACCTGGGTCAAGGCCCCAGGGAACCGCAGAGTCAGATCCTGGTAGCTTCCCCGTGACAGTGATCTCTTCAGGGACCCTGCATGGCAAGAGCAAGGGCAGCCTGTGGGTGGAAGGGGGTGGCCTCCCTGACAAGGTGGGCTTCCTGGACGCGGTCTGGTTCTTTCAAGTGTACTCAACAACAGACAGCCTGGGAGGCACAGTGTCCTGAGCGCCTGATCCCAAATCCCAGCCCTGCCACTTTCCTAACACGGACCACAGCGAGTTACCTCAGCACTCCGTGCCTCAGTTGCCTCACCTCAGCAACGGTAAACTCATTCCAGAGGTACCCAGAGGTACTCAACCCCAGCGAACTTAGCACCAGCACCTGCTGCCCAGGGTTCCAGCATGAGAAGAGAAGGGATCCCAGGCCACGCAAGTCTCTACTGGAAGCCACCCCCTGACAGGGGACAGTCTCGGCCTTGGTACTCAGGCCAAGGGGCACCAAAGCAGCCTCCTTGCTCATCCCAGGGTGGGAGGCCTGGGCATCCTTCTCACAGGCAGCAGCAGCGCCTTTACTACACACCATCAGCTCAGGCTGGCAGGGCCCCCTTCTCGTGTACTGTGATGTCTAATAACTACGAGATCAAGTCGCAGTGAGACCCTCAGGACTGCAGAGCCTGGCAGCACTGCGCCAGTGTCTCTGAACTGCAGGCTGTGCTAAGGGAGGTTTGGAAAGCCGCTCCATTGGGCTGCAGTTTGTTCTGGAGAAGAGCACGACCACTCCTGTCCTGTGGTCTCATCCCAAGTTTCCCACCCCACATGGCCTCAGCTGACACCAGCCCTTGCCCTGTGGCAGGACAACCTGGGCAACATCCCAGCAGCAATGAAGGCACCATGTGCGCACCAGATCCTGAGCAATGAGGAGAGGTCACTAAAGGCTGAATGGCTCCAGGACGCTGAAGCTACAGGGACCAAACTGTCCAGCACAGTCAGGTGTATGTGTGGGGACAGCAGTAAGTCCCACTGAGTGACAAGGTCTCAGCAAGGGGATGCCCTCACTCTGCTATGGTTTGTGCTCAAGTCCCTCTTCCACCTGTGTCTTCCTCCAGCAGTGCAGGCCCAGACCAGGGCTGCTGGGGTCCCCCAGAGCCTCCTATGTAGATACACCTCGGACACTGCGCATGGAACAGGCCCAGGGCTGAGAAGGCTGGCGTCTCTTGAGCTTTCATTTGCATCTTGACATCCTCACTAGCACAGGGTAGACACAGAGTCACTGAACCCTCCAGCCCAGGAGGCCTCTTTGGAAATGCCCTCACACTTGAGAGGATCTTCGCCCAAGACCCCTGTCACCAGGGGACACACCAAAGAACTGGAGCTGGAGGACGGCGTGTTGGGGAGCACACTGCAGGCCCTACAGGGAAGTGCACAGTGGAACACAGATGCTTATCATGTGCTACCTGTTGTGCAGGACAGCCTGAGGAGGAGGGACAGGCCAGAAATGAAATGTCGCCATCAGGTGGCCTGGGGCTGGAGGGAACATGGGAAGAAACCTTGCTGAACTCCATCCTGGTAAATGTGACTTGTGAATCACATAAATGTTTACATAACCAGAAATAAAATTAAAACAAAAAGTCACAAATCCCCATTGCATTACAGTGACTACAGACAGGAAGAAACGAGCTTAACTGCTTACCAAAGGGCAACACACCACAGAGGTAAGGGTCTGAGTACTTTCCAACCACAGGGCAGGGACGCCTGCTGTGAGACACCCCAGAGGACGCACATGCACCAGAGTGGCTCCTGGGAGGACTGGGAGATTCTGCCTGAGGGCATCTCGTGGCACCAGTGGAGAGAGAGAAGACAGTGGCCCCGGCGCAGCCTTAACTCAGGAACCCTCCAGGGGCATCCGTAGTCTGTTGGGCACTGGTGTGGGGAAGGAGGGACACATGAAAGACCACAGGCGGGGATGCCACTGCTGAGAAGGCAGTCACAGCTACAGTCCTTCAGCCATGGGCTGAGGGGGAGACTCAGACGTGCACAGGCTCTGACTGGGACTAAGTGAACTGTTCGGCTTGTTCTTTAAGGGTTTAAAAACTATGAAAAAAATATGTAACAAAATTTACCTCTCTTTCTCTGTTTTTTGGGACAGGGTCTCACTATGCAGTCTAGGCTGGCCTCAAACTCAAGATCTTCCTGCCTCGGTCTCCTGAAAGCTGAGATTAAAGGCGTGTGCCACCACACCTGGGTCTAAACTTACTGTTTTAACTATTCCTAAGTGCACAATAACTACACCTTTATTAGCACCGAAATGGGGAATATAGGGCCATTAACTGCAATATCCCAGTTCTTTCAAACTGAAATTATTTCAAGCAAATAATAACCATATGGTGATTTTTAATTCTGTGCATTGAAAGGCACACAGGTGTCTGCTACTGTATTTTCTCACTGCTAATTTAAAAACAAATACTCTAAGGAAGGCTCAATGAGCTGTTATCAGACAGGTGATCTAAAGACTTTCCTCTTGGCAGGTGCCTGCCAGGTCTAGATCCCTGCTGCCCTTCAGCACAGGATCGGGGGGGTGCGCTAGGTTGGGCACCAGTGACGGCCCAGCATGGCTCCCCAGCAGGCTAGGGGCTTACCATAGCATACACACACACTTTTGTAAGGAAGCCACACATCCCTTTTCAGCCTCCCTCTAATCAGACTGTATGTGAGTGTGTACACACACACACACACACACGCACACAGTTTTCTTTTTGTGATACTAGGGATTGAACACAGGGCCTTCATATTGAACTTCAACCCCAATCCTTTTTTTTTTTGTTTTTTTGTTTTTTTTGGTACTGGGGGTCAAACTCAGGACCTTGAGCCTGCAAGGCAGGCGCAGTGGAACTGACTGAGATAAATCCCTGGCCCCCAATCCTTTTTATAAATTAAAAAATGTTCAGGCAGGGTATTGCTAAGTTGCTCAGGCTAGGCTTGAATTTTTTTTTTTGGTTTGTTTTTTTGAGACAGGATCTCACTATGTAGCCAGACTGGCCTCAAACTCACAGTGATCCTCTTGCCTCAACCTCCCAAGTGCTGGGACTAAAGGTGTGTGGCACCACGCCCAGCAAGCCAGGCTTAAACTTGCAAACCTCCTGCCTCAGCCCCCCAGAGTGCTCAGATCACATCTTCAGATACATAATCTTGACATGATTACGAGAGCTGAGTATCGAGTTCACATGTTCATAGGTTCAGAGCTGCATGCAGCCTTAGAAGACCAGCTGTTTAACTCTTGTGTTACACGTAGGGAAAAAAAGGAAATTCAACTGCACAAAAGGGCTTGTCTGCGGGCACTGGCGAGTGTGGTGGCTTCGCTGTCACTGCAAACACACCTGTGTGCTCAAGGACTGTCTTTACTATCACCACTGTGCTGCCCCTCCCCAAGGAAAAGTGACCAATGATGGTCCCCTGTGTCACCAGCAGTTCTGAGCTGAGCTCTCCTCGACTCAACTTGCAGGTTCATTAGGACGGCTCTTCCCTCTCCACACCTCCCCTTTCAGTGCAGCACCAAGCGCAGTGGCAATGCTCCATAATAAACACATGCCACACAAATACGCACCACCCAGATAGTGTGCCACATCTGGGGATTGAACCTAGAGCCTTCACACTGAGCCACACCCCCAGCCACTTTTTATTCTTTTTTCTTGAGACAGAGTTTCACTATGTAACCTAGTTGTGCAGGCTGGGCTGAACTTGCCATCCTCCTGCCTCAGCCCCCCAGAGCAGTGGGATTACAGGCGTGCAACACCACACCCGGCTTATGCCTTCTTTTTTTCTGGTACCGGGGATCGAACTCGGGACCTTGCACTCACAAGGCAGGCGCAGTGCCACTAAGCTAAATCCCTGGCCCTCATGCCTCCTTCTTTTGATGGCTATATCTCTCTGACCAAAGCTTCTAGTAAGCAGGGTCAAGCTTAGGGCTGAAAGCAGGCAGGCCCCAGGAAGTGAATAAACAAATGATAAATTTGGGAACTACCTGGTAGTCTCTTGGATACTAGCAGCTTGGGATAGCAGGAAATACAACTAGAGGTCACTGAGGGCCCTTGGTGTCACAAGGGCAGCACTACGGAGGGTGGCTACACCAGGACGACATGTCAGCTCTGGCAACGTGGCACATAGCTCTCCTGCTGAAACAACTATAGTGCTAAAGAAAACATCTGAAGAGAACGCAGCAGAGAAGACAAGACCATGACATCTTAAGTGCACCCATAACGGGCAAGGATGTATGAGGCAGATACCTGGAGAGCCAGGAGACTAACAGTCTCAGACTGGACTGTGCTGGGGAACCCAGGGAAGTGTGAACGAGGCCCGACATCAGTGTATCACTTCACTTCCTATGCGTCGGAATGGAAGAGCGCTGTCTGTTCTCAGGAGAGCCGGGCAGAAGTATTTAGGGGCTAAGCTTCACAATGACTGTGACTGTGACTAACGCTCCAGCAGTGAATGAATCAGGGGATCTATGCAGTGCCAATATGGCAACATGCTCAAAAGGGGGAAATGACATCAATATAATTAGAAGCTGCTGGCTGACAGCATTTTGGGCTTTCTCTGTAGTTCCGGGGATGGATCCCAGGGCCTTGAGCATAAACGCTCGACCACTGAGCCACATTCCTAGCCCCTAAAGTAAAATTGTAAAGCAGTGACAGGCAAGCTTCTCTCCCTCCTCTGTCTCTCTGCCAAGTCTCGCTATGTAGTCTAGGCCAGCCTTGAACTCACCACACAGCCCAGGCTGGCCTCAAACTCCTGAGCCTCCTGCTTTGGGCAAGCTCCTGAACAAAGAGACTGCCTTCCCATTACACAAAGACATTAAGAGAAACAGCTGGAAACTTGAGCAAAGGCCTTCCTGAAGTGGGTTTCCACAGTGTTACACTCTATTGTGAAGCTGC